TAAATATATATTTAATTAAATATGGATTCTTTTCTCAGATAACTACTAAAAAATTATTTTATTATTCCTCTCAAAAAATTAAAATTTGATGTAAACTAATAATGTAATAATAATAAATGTAATAAAATAAAATAAATTTTATAAATTCAATTTAACATTGGACTTGTATTCACGCATATGTGAATACATTTTTTTCTCATCGCGCATGTAATGAGATTATATTACATCTATTAAATTTGTCCAAATTCTTTATAAAAGAATAGACATATTACATTTTTGAAAGAAACAAATTGTCAAAAATTAATATCAGTCATCATAAAAAAGTATAAGAAATAGCAAATAAATAATGATACTTGATTGACAGGCAAAATAAGGCCTTTCTGGTCACGGTTTGAATATCATTAAACTAGATTATTACCGATAAATGCGATTACTGTCTGACATCCATTAATCCAGAAAAGTGATTAATCTACGCGATATCAATCTTCTCGTAATAACTGTGCATTAAAAGTCATAAAAGAAAATAATAAACCGTACCGTGATATATATCATGTTAAAAATTGCAATCTAATATGTTCTCAGTTATTTACACTCCATGTTGCACGATCGACGTAAAATTGGACCAACGTTAGAAATTCGCAAAATGGTTGTGCGATGCATATTAACGATTACGATTTTTCAACTCGCAATCATCGGCTGTTGTGCTGTGAGTGGAATAATTTGGTTAAAACAAAAACAGGAATTTGTACAGTTGTTCAGTATACCGCAATTTGCCACTCTTCAAGAAGAAAATTTGGCTAAAAGTCAAGCGATAGAAATACACGATATGAAAAACGAAGTAGTGAGAGCTGTGTATTATGAGGTGCGAAGTGAAATTAAAGAGATCAATAGTTATGTTCCAAAATTTGCAAATTTTTGATAATTCTTCATGTTATAACATTGTCATAAGTATATAACATTGTTATAATATAGAAAAACACGTCGTATCAATTTTTTTTCTATTTATAGGAAAAAAATATGGTAATGTTTTATGACAATGATACAAAAGTTACTGGTATTTGCGGCGATTTATGGTATCTTCTTGCGGATTATCTCAATTTCACGTACGTTACGATAAATCTTTTTTAATATATCGTATAATAAAACACTGTGCACACTTATCTTTGTGTGATTTCTTATATTATGCATTTGTTTAATCGCACAATGGAGTTTATTAATCATAAATCAAATTATTGCGTTCCTTAGATTTATCCCGATGAAAACGACCAATCGAGATTTTGGAGGAAGGCTAGAGAATGGTAGCTATACTGGCGTAATTGGTATGCTAAAGCGAAATGAAGCACAGGCACTTATGAGAAGCGGATTCTTTATAAATCGCATGGACGTCTTGGATTACACAGCGGCTCTTTGGAAAAGCCGGTGGGTTTTCACGTCACATTAAATAATAAATTACGACTGAGAAATTGCTCGTCTTTGATGCGCGCGCGCATTTCTGAATTATTAGTTGAAATTCTTTTCTATACAATCGAATAGAAGACAAGAAAACAAAAAGAAAAAATATTGTTTTATATTTTTTATTATCTGTAGTATGAATAATTGTTAATGAATTGTTAATGAATTGACGTTTCAGATTTCACATTTATGTTCAACCAGAATCGCTGTTTGATAATACGTGGGTATTTACGCTATTTTCACCGATAACATGGTATTGTATAGTGTTCCTGTTTATTATCCTAAGTTCCGTTGGTTATTTTCTGCAGAAAATACCGATGGATTACAATCCTAAAAAGGAAGTTTCCGTAAATTTTAGTCTAGGCGATCATTTTTTCCATTCTTTCGCCATGATGTGCGCACAAGGTGCATAAGATAGTTAAGCAAATAAGTGTAAAAACGTATTTTATCTTGCTGACAAAATAATTTTATCAAAACTTTTTATCAATGGAGTTTTCGAATAAACGCAAAATATATATAATAAAGCAAAAAAAAATTCAGTTATAATAGATCCAAACAATTATTATAAATTATTAAAGTTACGGAAAGATGAATTATAACCTGTGCTTTTTCATAGGCTACATACCTGACGCTTTTTACAACAAGTTTAAGATTTTGTCACTGTCAAAGAGTATATTCGCATGGCTGGTATTGTTAGCTTTTAGTTCCCATCTCATATATCGCATGACGAATAGAGAAACGACGCTACCATTTGAGGATTTAGAAACTCTTTTTTCCAATACAAAAAAGATCCTACTAGCATTCCGTGGTTCTATCATCTACTATTATCTTAATGTAAATATCGAAAATTATTTATATAAATTTACTTTTTTTGATTAAAATATAAGAATTTTAATTAATAAATATTAATCGCTTAAATATCAATAGCAAAATTAATTTTTATACAATATCGAAAGAAATTTTCACACTATAATGGTATTCGAGAGTTTGCTTATATATATTCTAGCGTATTATATTTGTAAAATATAATATAAATATAATTATATTTAGCAAAATAAAATAAAATTGCAAAATAGCCTTTTGTAATATAAAAAAAATATTATAATAGATTACATAAAAAATTATATTCCCGTGAAAAAATGGATATAAGATCATATTTGGATATAACAATATATGGTCAAATATGGTCTTATATAACTAAATAAGTCCATTTTTCGGGTTTAGAATTTTTTATTATTTGCCATATATTAAATAATTTCTATAAAAACAAATTAAAGATAATATATCCATTTTAAATGCTACTTATCGTGTATTATTTTAGAATAAATATGAAAAAGACGAAAATCTATTTGCGCGTATTCGATTCATAAACATCGCGGAGGATATGCATAACATAATTTGCAACAACCCGAAAAAATACGCAATGTTCGAGATTGACGATCGATTTATGGCATTGAATAGAAATGATTGCCCGCTCAAAGTCACGGGTAATTACAACGAGACTTACATATCGTTCGGAGTTCAGAAGGATTATCCCTTCAAAAAAACTATAGATTACGCGTAAGTATTGCGCAAGCATAAACATTAGGATTTATATTTATTGTTCAAGAAACTATTTGTCTAATTAATAGATATCACATATTTTTTCATCGTCAATTTGCATTTTCCAGACTCACTAAATTCAACGAAGTTGGACTGATGGACGCTCTTAAAGATCGTTGGTTGGATATAAAAATGGAGGAAATAGAACAAATAGAGTTCAAGATTATCGACTTGCATCAAGTTCAATTAATTTTCCTGATACTTTGTTGGGGAGCGCTTATATCATTTGCGATACTCGTTCTCGAAAACATAATATACTATTACGAACTAAAAAATATTCAGCGTAGACGTTCATAAACAAATTTTGGATACTGTTAGAAAAAATATAACCGGTATTAAAAAAATATAATAATAATACGTATCATTTTTTCAATAATAAAAATTTGTTTTTCCTCTTTGTCTTTTAATTAATTAATTAATTAATTATTTGTATGTGTGTATCTTTGTATGCATATTGACGAGCAATCACATATATTTCAAGATTAAATATTTAATTAAATATTTAAATAGCCTAATTTGTCCTAATCTGTTCATTTTAAGACACAATGGATTTGTGAGGTATGTATTTATAATATATTTCTATACTTTTAATATAAACTTCTATAATTTTTAAGTATAATTTTTATTATTTTTTAATGATTTCAATTTTTATGATTTTAAAATAAATAATTCTAACATCAAGTATTTTATAGAAATTAATGGAAATATTTTAAATTGTTAGGTTTTGTCTCGTTTTTAATATTTGTCATCTTATAGATACATTTTATACATATATCTGAATTTTCATAAATCCATTATCTCGTAATTAAAACAGAAAACAATTTTAACTCACCGGTGTACAGCATCACAACGTCCATTACGTTATGGGGTTGTTTCGCCATCACCATGTTTGTCGTTTCAGGTCTCCTCCTGTTCCTCTCTTATATCATTTTGTTGCTTTTTCGTGGCACTTACTAGCAAAAACAATTAATTTCAATTAAACATACATTTAAAAAAACAATTAATTACGATTACGCGCGTACTAATCACACTTGAATACAATTAATAAGCACGCGGTACTTACAACTTTAATTGTATGCGATGTACACTTGATTATAGCGGAAAAATAACGCGGGAAAAGCGCACGAAGCTCGTTGTATTTCACGGTCGCCTCTAAAGACTAACCTCACATGCACGCGAATAGCAGAGGTTTTAACAAATTATCGATGGTCACATAAACATATTTATACGCCACGCGGTCGAAAATTGTTAAAATATGATTATATTACAAGACAATTATTGTAAATATATATATATATATATATATATAATCGTGCGCCTGTGAAATATAAGCACTGAT